ATAATAATTCTAATAATCTGTTTAATTATTTATTTATTTTATAAGATTTTTATATACATGTAAAATTGAATTTGAAAATTATTCTGGTGTTGAAGTATTAGAACTATTAACTGCAGCAGGTGAATTTGGTATTGAGTCACTTTATGAATATATGATGAAATACTTTATTGAAAATTGTGAAGATTATATTAAAAAAAATCCAGTTAAAATTCTACAATTGATTTATGCTAATGAAAATTTTAAAGAATTGAAAAACTATTTGAATCAAGTGAATTTAAATCATTGGAAAAACCAATTCTATTGGAAATTCTCAAAAGAGAAGATTTTTCTGTTGATGAGATAGTTATTTGGGAAAGCATTCTTAAATGGGGATTAGCAAAACATCCAGAAATCAATAATATCAATCCTGAAGATTGGTCATCACAAAATTTTGCTGATTTAGGCAACACATTAAAAGATTTTTTTTCTCTAATAAGATTTCAGGATATTTCTAAAGATGATTTTATTGATAAAATTGAACCATATAATATGCTTTTTCCTAGGACTTTATGGAAACCCCTTTTGCAATCTCATTTATACCCTGATAGACAACAAACTTTAAATTTATTACCACCAAGAATTTCAAATTCAAAATCACCAACACTTGAATCATTGGCAATTAATCAAAACCTTATTTTGCTTTTTGCAAGTTGGATTGATAGAAAAAGTCCACCATATACCTCATTCAGGGAAGTCAAATACAAATTCAAACTTCTATATCATAGTAGCAGAGATGGTTTAAAAGTAGCTACATTTCATCAAAAATGTGATAATATCAACAAAACTCTTGTAGTTGGCAAAATACAATATTCTGAGCAAATAATTGGTGGTTATAATCCACTTAGTTGGGATGGAGAGGGTTATAAAAGTACAAATGAAAGTTTTATATTCAATATAAATGATAGAAATAATATTAATACCGCACAATTTAGTTATGTTATCAATCATCAATATGCAATTTACTGTGATCCTTCACATTTATTTATTTTTAGTTATAATGATATTTTTTTTCAAACTAAGAGTTTTATTGTTATTAATAATTTTGCATATAGTAACATCAATATAGTATATGGTAATAAATTAGATGAATTGGAAGTTTTTCAAATAATTGATTAA